AACCCGTGTCCCCTGCATCGGCAGGCAGACTCTCAACCACTGCGCCACCAGGGAAGCCCAACTTTTATATTTTTATAGGGATGCATTCATTCACTGGGTGTTGATCTTGGACTTCTTGGGGTTACATGGAAAAGGTAGAATTGCATTTTGACTTTGATGTTAATTCAGGGTTTCAATGGACATTAAAAAGGCGCACGACTTAAGTATTAATGTTTAGTCTCTTTTTTAGTGTGTTTTTCTACATTCAAGCTGTGCCTCACAGGAGATATTCTTAAATTGTCCAGTGTAACCTCGGGCTTTCATGTTGCATTTCTGCAGGAGCTTAAAATAATTTGATGCGTGACGTTTCTTCCCCCAGAGCTTCCTCTATATACTAGTGAGCCATCTGGGGGACTTGTCTTAGTGAAGTTATGAAGATTCATATGTAGTATGTTGCTCTTACAGGATTATGAAGTTTCACGTTGCAAAACGGAAGTTTAAGGAAACATTACGCCCGTATGACGTAAAAGACGTCATCGAACAGTATTCTGCTGGTCACCTGGACATGCTGTGCAGAATTAAAAGCCTGCAAACACGGTGAGCAACGCGAGGGTTACTTTTCCTACAGGAACAGGCACAGAAACTGTCTGGGAGGAACGTCTCCCTAGTAGAGAAAACTCTTGAATTCCATGTTTCTAACTCTTTTTTTAGCGAACAGCTGGACTTTTGCGTTGAAACGTAGATTTTATTTAAATGTAAACCAGTCATTAAAAGCCTCAACGTATCGACAGTGTCTCAGTGTCTCACCTGTGAAGATGGGGTATTGGCAGTGGCCGCCTAGGGTCGTGGTGAGGATTGAATGAGTTAATGCAGGGTCACCGGGGGCTCGGGGAATGTTGATGGTTGGTGCTGCTGTCGTTTCCGTTATCGCCTGAATCCTAACCATCCTTCAGAGGAAAGCTAGTCCTCCTTCGTTAAACCTGACCCACCATCCAGCCCACAAAGGGCCCCCTAAAGCGAGTAGAGTCCACTGCAGGGAGTAAAAGCGCGGCTCACCTTGGAATACTGTGCCGGAGAGTCAAACTGGGGACCCAGGGTCGACTCTTACACTGCTTCCCTGTGGGAAGTTTGTTCCCCTGGCCCTGGACCCAGTCTGGGCCCTTCCCTTCATGCCTGTCCTGCACAGGGCTAGATACACACCGTCTTTCCAGGGATCATCTTCTCTAGTGGTTGAAAGAAATGAGTTCAGTATGTTCTTTCAAACATGTGTTTGATTGTGTCATCTTGAAGCCAAAATATTTAGTCAGTTTCATTTTTTTTTAACAGCCTTGCTTCACTATCAGGCCCCAACTACCAGCATTCGACTGAACAGTTCTTAAAACACAAGGACTGAGTCTTCAATGTTTGTCTATGCCCAGAGCACACTTAGCCCAGGGTGAGGCATATACTAGGCCCTTAGTAAAACACCTGCTGATTTCTATAACATTAGTTACAGAAATCACAGTTTGTTCGTTCATTCATTCAGCAGGTAGGTATTGAACCTGCAATGTGTGCCGGGCACCCTGGGCACCCAGAGATGAACAAATGACCCAGTCCTTGTAGAGCGGCAGTTGAAGGGATTAGATGTCATGACTGCCTTGTACTCCTGTGCACACAAAGTAAACTGGAAAGTTGAGTCAATATTCCTTATAATTCAGTTCTAAAACACACAAAAAGGAAGAAAGTAAGTCCAATTTAGGCTGACTAGGTCTCCTTGGAGATTGTTTTAAATCACCTGTGATGCTGTTACAATCTCTGCGCAGGTAGCCAAGGTTTTCCAAGTCCTTTCATAGAGCTACCTAAGGCTCCCAACGTTTTTGTTTGCTTGTTTGTTTATTACAAATGTAACTGGTTTTTTTTTTCTTCATAGTGATAGGGTCACTAGTTAAAATACACTGTAAAATCTGCAACTTAAATTTTATTTCATGCTGCATTGTAGAAATAGTTCACATAAATAGCGTCCATTTAATCATTTAAAACAAAGGTTAAATGTAAATTAGGATCCTGTTATTTATTCCTATGATTATGTATGGTTTTCTGGTAAACTTTTATTTTTCTGAGGGTGAAGGAATTAATGTTTTTGAAAGTAAGATATCTTTAAACTAAATTGATAATTTCCAGAAATCAATTGACCTGGAGAGAATGCCGTAACATTACAAACAGGGTTTTTTCATTTAACGTATGTTTGTTCAATTGGTTTTGTTGTTTCTTTGTTTTTATTGACGTATAGTTGATTTACAACGTTGTGTTAGTTTCAGGTGTACAGCAAAGTGATTCAGTTATACGTGCATTTATATCTTTTTTTTTTTCAGATTCTTTCCCCTTATAGGTTATTGCAAAATATTGAGTATAGTTCCCTCCCAGTGCTTCTATAAAGTTCAACTGCTGCAGAATTTGCAGAACTAATCTGGAGTTTCTTGCTTATGTGATGTGTGTATACTGTCCAACTAGAAATCCTGAGCTGGAGACTGCAGCTTTCTTATCTGCTTATCTTCCATATGTCAGATGTATGATAAACGGTCATTGAAAAATCTGTTCTATTATTAACATGGAATAGTCATAATTATGATTTTGTCATTTTTAAGTGGTTGAATTCAAGAAACACCTGGTCGGGGTGGAAACAGACAAATTACTTGGTAGTTTAGGACGTTTGTGCCTCCAGAAGATCAGCCATGAGTGACTTCATCATGGACTAGAATAATGAGAAAATTAACCTCGTGTAATTTTCATGTGAAGAAAATAAGCACGTCAACTGGAGGAAGTTCATTTTTATTTCCTCTTACGTAAATAGAGATAATTGTATTTTTCTTTTCAAAACCCTTCCTTCCAGCCTAGGGCAGTGTCCACCTTCAGCACTCATAATCAGATCTCTTTCTCTGCTAGTGTGGATCAAATTCTTGGAAAAGGGCAAATCACATCAGATAAGAAGAGCAGAGAGAAAATAACCGCAGAGCATGAGACCACAGATGACCTCAGCATGCTCGGCCGAGTGGTCAAGGTTGAAAAACAGGTACAGCTCAACTAAACTGCTTAACTTTTTAGCCAGATTTTTTTCCAGTTTTACTGAGATATAATTGACGCATATCCCTGTATAAGTTTAAGGCATACAACATAATGGTCTGACCTCCCTATACTGTGAATGATGACCACAGTAAGCTTAGTTAGCCTCCATCATCTCATAGAGACACAATAAAAAGGAAAGCACAAAAAGAAAAAAAAAACTTGTTTTCCTTGTGATGAGAACCCTTAGGATCTACTCTGTTAACACCTTCCTGGGTACCACACAGCAGTATTAACTATAGTCATCCCCTTGTGCATCGTACCCCCAGCGCTTGTTTATCTATAATTAGGAATCGGTACCTTCCGGCCACCTGCCTCCGGTCCCCTCCCTCCACGCGCTGCATCTGGTCACCATGAATCTGATCCTTTTTCTATGTGTTTGGGAAGGGGGTTGTTTTTTGTCGTAAATTCCACATAAGTGAGATCATACAGTATTCGTGTTTCTCTGCCTGACCTATTTGACTTAGCATTATGCCCTCAAGGTCCATCCCTGTTGTTGCAAATGGCAGGATTTCCTCATTTTTTATGGCTGAGTAATATTCCATTGTGTGTGTGTGTGTGTGTGTGTGTGTGTGTGTGTGTGTGTGTGTACACACACACACACACACACAGCACAACTTATTTATCCATTGATCTGCAGTGGACACTTGTCTCTGAGTCTTGGCTATGAACATGGGGGTGCAGACATCTTTTTGAGTTAATTTTTGTTTCCTCTGGATATAGTCCCAACAATGGAATTGCTGGATCATGTGGTAGTTCTATTTTTAATTTCCTGAGGAACCTCCATACTGTTCTCCACAGTGACTGCACCAGTTGACATTCCCACCAACAGTGCAGGAGGGCTCCCTTTTCTCCACACCCACATCAGCATTTGTTATCTCTTATCTTTTTGATGACGGCCATTCTAACAGGAGTGAAGTAGCCAGAATTTTTTTTTTAATCAAAACTGATTATAGGGCTTCCCTGATGGCGCAGTGGTTGAGAGTCCGCCTGCCGATGCAGGGGATGCGGGTTCGTGCCCCGGTCCGGGAGGATCCCACATGCCGCGGAGCGGCTGGGCCCGTGAGCCATGGCCGCTGAGCCTGCACGTCCGGAGCCTGTGCTCCGCAACGGGAGAGGCCACAACAGTGAGAGGCCCACGCACCGCAAAAAAAAAAAAAAAAAAAAACTGATTATAGGCAGTTGGATGTATTTTAGTGAGTAATAGATTTTAAAGGGAATAAAATCAAGAAAGAGCGAATAAAATTTTCTTTATGCATAGACAGTGTTTCTCTAAAACACCTGGATTTCCATATAAGAAATAGAAAATTTCCTCTCTTCAATTAATACTCGAACTGCAAACAACTATAGATTTCCAACAGTAGAATAACAAAGATCTAGTTTTTATTTGTGGTTTGGTTATTTTCATTGTCTCTCTTATGTCAATTAAAAAAAAAAGCATAATAACTATGGTAGTGCACTGAATGTTTGTTGACCCTGAGAGTGTATCATCTCATACAAAGACAGTTCTTAGAAATCAAAATGCTCCCCCAATTTAATTATAAATATTCCAAGCATTTTATACCTTTATTTTTAAATTTAGAATCGCCTAGATTGATATCTAGGGTCTTTTTTTTGTTTTTTTGTCTGTACCGCACAGCTTGTGGGATCTAGTTCCCTGACCAGGGATGGAACCCGGGCCTCCTGCGGTGGAAGCGCAGAGTCTTAACCACTGGACCATCGGGGAAGTCCCAGTATCTAGGGTCTTGATTTCTTACAGAATACGTTCCCTGCTAGGCAGCAGTAAAGTCCCAGAATGTCTTCAGGGAAGAGGCTGAGGAAGGGCAACCTGATCGGGGAGGAGGGTCTGGAAGTTGCTTTGTACAGCGCTTATATGGTTTTAGAAACATCAATTTTATCTTACTTTTTTTATAATTTATTTTATTTTATCTTTGCGTTGGGTCTTCATTGCTGTGCGTGGGCCTTTCTCTAGTTGTGTCGAGCGGGGGCCACTCTTTGTTGCGGTGTGAGGGCTTATTGCAGTGGCTTCTCTTGTTGCGGAGCATGGGCTCTAGGCGCGCAGGCTTCAGTGGTTGTGGTTCACGGGCTTCAGTAGCTGTGGCTCGCGGGCGTCAGTAGTTGTGGCTTGTGGGCTCTAGAGTGCAGGCTCAGTAGTTGTGGCGCACGGGCTTAGCTGCTCTGTGGCATGTGGGATCCTCCTGGACCAGGGCTCGAACCCGTGTCCCCTGCATTGGCAGGCGGATTCTTAACCACTGCGCCACCAGGGAAGCCCCTGAAAATCAATTTTAAAGGCTGGGGAGGCAGAAGGGCGCCAGTGGAGACCAGGCGGACGGATGCCGGAGCGTCCCGCCTCTCAGCCGTCCGTTCCCACCCTCACGGCTGGAAGGGGCATCCTGAGCTGGTGCCCAGTCAGGACTGCGTACGACGTGCCTCTCTGGACTTCACTGTGCAGGCACAGCCGGACTTCTTTCTACATTCTTATCAACAGGTGTACGTTCTCCCCTCTTTCAGGTCCAGTCCATCGAGGCCAAGCTGGACTGCCTGCTGGACATCTACCAGCAGGTCCTGCGGAAAGGCTCCGCGTCGGCCCTCGCGCTGGCCCCCCTGCAGACCCCGCCTTTCGACTGTCAGCAGACCTCGGACTATCAGAGCCCGGCCCCGCCCGGTGGCCGCCTGCCCCGCTCAGCCAGCGCGGGCCTGGCTCGGGGCCTGCAGCTCATCCTCACGCCCGGCGAGCTGGGCGCGCAGACCTTGTACGCGCTGAGCCCCGCGGCGGCCCAGGGGCCCGGGAGCCCGGGGGATGGCCCGGCAGTGGCGGGGGTGGGCGCGGCCCGGCCGGCGGCTCCCGCCACCCTGCAGATCCCGGCCCCGCTGCCCGCCCTCGGGGCCCTGGCCCCCGGCCCCGCGGGCCCGCACGAAGGCCTCCCCGACGTCTCCGCCCGCCTCGAGGCCGCCAAGGAGCGCGCACTGCGCCAGAGCCTCGACCTGGACGGCGCGGCCCTGCTGTCCGTCCGGCCCACGGCGGCCCAGGACCGGGGCAAGTCGGCATCGGTGCAGAACCTGATCCGGTCCGCGGAGGACCTGGACGTGCCACTGTCGGGGAGCGAGTCCAGCGGCTCCAGGGGCAGCCAAGATTTTTACCCCAAATGGAGGGAATCCAAATTGTTTATAACTGATGAAGAGGCGGGTCCGGAGGAGACCGGGTCGGACGCCTTGCACGCGGGGCCGCCGGCCCAGGAACCCGCCCTGGCGTCGGACTGTCTCAGGACTGGACGGTCCCGATCATCTCGGAACACGGGAGCCGCGGAGGCCCTCGGCCGGGCCCACGCCAGGCTGAAATGAGGCCCTCGCTCGATTCCCTTGCCCCGCAGCCTCTCAGCCATACACGTCGCTGCATGAACTCTTCGGGAAGCCCTTCTCAAAAGTTGAATGCCCAAGAATCAGGAAGAGCAGGAAAGGCAGTGTCCAAGCCCGTTACCTTTTAATTGCATGACAGTGCATGTTCAGGGGACGGCTGAACTTCCCAGGTAGGACAACATTACCCCTCATTCAGGAAGGTACCTCGCGTTAAAACTCCTGAGAAATCAACACTGCTGGTGCTGTGGTGTGTGTGAAAATGTCAAGGTCAGGTCGTTTATAAGATCGGACTCTGTCTTTTGAAATGATGGGAGTAAGCGCCTTCAAAGTTCAGGCATTTCTGCTTTGTGGTAAAACACAGAATACAGTTTCAGAATTAGGCCATGACGTGCGTACACGTAAACATAGTATCAGCTGCTGATAGGGTGTCCAGTAAAGCAGAATTGGGGAATCACAGAAAGGGCTGCGTGTCCAAGACGTACTTGCCAACCCGTTCCTATTCAGGCATTTTATTAGTAATGTAATTTGAATGTCAATTCGTGTGCTTTTGGTGACTTAACGCTGTGGCCAGCAACTTTGCACGTCATTTTCATGTTCTTTATGACGAGAATGTTCTTCGGTTAGAAAATGTGCAAACAGTGAAATTCAAGGCCAGTGGGGCAAACAGGCTGACTCTGACACATTTGACTTCAGTGGAAACGTATTCCCTGATGGCTCACTCCATCAGCTGCTACACAAGCAAACCAAGTCCTGAGAAGCGGACATCCGGCCGGGCAGGGCTGATATGTGTGTCCTGCAGCGCTCTCCACGAAAGGCAAGTGCGAGAGGCTCTTCCCCCGGCTGATACACACGCAGGCTCCTGGGAGCAGACGTGTGAGTGAGACAGGGATGGAAAAGGCTTGAAAAGAATCCAGACACGACACCGGGAAACAAGTGAGCTCAAGAAAATGACTTCCCCCTCCAGGGCCGTGAGAGGGAGGGAAACAAACCAAAAGGAGAGACCTTGATTTTTTAGAAAACGAATATTGCTAAGGAATTCAACGACCTAAACATCCCTTATTCTTATATATAAGCAGAGAATTTTGAAAGGCATTTATTTTTCAATATGCCCTGAATGTCTTTTGCTATTAGGTAGTACATTTTGCATATGGAAGGCTAAAACTAAACGTCCTTTACTTTTTATACTGTAGTGCACATTTTCTATTCTTCCCAGGAATGTTGTCCCCAATCTGAAATTACTGGCTCAGTTTCCTGGTACAAACATTTTATGGTTCAAAGTCGGGTAGCACTGGCAGAGTCTGCGAATCAAAGCACTTAATAATATAGCATGGCAGCAAAAAGACCAAGGGACATCAAAGGAGAAACGTATGTACCAGAAAGCAAGCAAAGTTGACCGCTTGTTAGAAACCAGCCTCGCTAGCCCAGACCGTCAGAACTTCAGCCAAGGTAACGGCACCCAAAGGGCCAGGAGAAGCGAGAGAACACTGGTTAAACTCTCACCACAGAAGGACTTAAAAAGGAAGAGTTTTTTCCTTGGCGGTAGTGCTGCCTCCGGGAAAAGTTTCCCAGCGGCCAGGAGGACCAAGCAGGGCTGTCACCGGCCACCCAGAGGCCAGAAGATGCCCTGGCACCCGCCAAGTCCCTCCCAACTCTCTCCCCAGCCGGGTTTCTCCACCCGAGACCGCCCCCCCCACCCCGCCCGCGACTTTTCTTCTCCACAGGCTTATGGACTCCCTGCCACAAGTTCCCTTCTGGACTTCACCAGCCGACATCCCCAAGTAATCCGCTCCTCCACTCACCCAAAATGCGCTTCTCGGCCTTTTAAGACCCTGTCCTTTTTGATAAACACTGAAATTTGGCAAGATTCCTCTTCTCGCCCCACCGGGATCCTAGCCCACTCCCCCGGAGCGTGTCATTCAGAGTGTGCTTGGGTGCTGGAGATAACGCAGAAGAGAGTCTAAATTTTACACTCCAGTTAAGAAGAGGTTCTCAAGCTTTCGAAGCCATTATTTTCATTTTCGAAACATAGAGTGTTTGTTAGTAAAGTATTAAATGCAATGTTTCATCTACCCATGTCTCCACTCAAAGTTGTGATCCATCCTCCCAAGGAGGTTGTACACAAGAACACACACACACACACACACACACACACGCACACACACACGCACACACCCCTCTACTGACCTGAAGCCAGACCCCCGCCGTGCACGGCAGGCCTCTCCAGGTGTCAGCCGAGGAAGAGGCAGGGGATAGCAGCTTTCAGGTAGCACTGAGTCTTGGACACACTCTGTCCGGGTCAAACCCCACTGGCAGCAGGAACTCTGAATGTACGGGGGGACCCCCCTCCTTTGGCCCCTTTAGGCCTCAGACACAGTACAGTTCACCCTGCGTTGCTGAAGACGGAAGATTCAGAAACAAACCTAAGCCCATCACTGAGAGTTACCCACAGCCCCGCGTGGTAAATCATGTTAGGGAAAGCTTTCATACATCCAAGCCATGACCATTTTGTGTCTGTCTGTCTTACTCTGTAGCGCAAAAAGTCCTGGATGTCGAAAGCCGGTTGTCTTGTGTGAAAACTGGAGGGTTGTGTCTGCTCTGTTCCTCTCAGCGGAGCTGAGAGGGGCCTCGCACTTACACTTAGCAAAGTCCTTCGGTCAACCCCAGACGGCGTCTCGAAGCACAATTTAGCTGAGCACTGATCAGCCGCCGGCTTTCTCGGTCCGCGTTCGTCTGCCTCCTGCAGTTCGTGGGGCTGATCAAGCTAACGCTTCATGGCAAACATCCCTTCTAGGAGATGAACTGAGAATTTTTGCTCTGTCTGATCTAAATGTTTGCATTTTGTTCAACTAAATTAACACGTGTAGATTGCAAGTTTTGTTTAAAGAAGACACTTGACTGAGTTTTTAAGTCTTTATCTCCTGTTCTAAGGTGCCTTTCTTGCCTCCCCTTGGCTCAGTGATTCTGAACATTCTTAATTTGCCAGTAAAACAAGTCTAACAGAGAGGAGGAAATCAGGCACAAAGTGACTAATTCTCATGCCTGTTTGCAAAGCAAACTATAAGGAATGATGCAAGTGAGCAACTAAGTGAATAGGTCACTTCATCCAGATTGAGAAAATATCATAAATGTTAAACTTATCTCCCCAGAAGCTATTTTTTGCCTTAAAATGACATGGTTGTGTTTTTGTAAGAGAAACTTAATTTAATATAATTATGTGCATTTAAGTGAGCAGTTCTGGAAGTCGTGTATGACAATGCAGTTGTCTGTTTCCTGAAAACAAATAAATCAGGAATATCATATCCATTTCAAGCTACCATTCAAATGTAATTTCCTTTGCTCTCTTTTACTGGGATTATTTGTTTTAAAGTAAAACATTAAAAAGATGTCTATAAACAGCTAGTGTGACTGCTTTCATCTCGTACTGACTGGTTTGTTCTGAACTAACTGGGTCCCAGTCGATGAAACTGATCGCATACAGATTTGGGGTTGAAATTTAAAATTACCTTTTTCCCGCGTTGCTGAAGAAACCATTGGTAATTGGGGGAGAGGAGAGATTTGCAAATGTTGTTGAGGGTATCGTAAGAAAAATTAACTTGATATTATACTGAATATTTATTTTTATGTTTTTTATTTCATATATCAAAACAGATGCCAGTGCAAATGAGCCTTGTGTTAGCTATAATAAAAGGGTTTGCTAAACGAGTGATAAGAAGTGGGGACCAGCAGGTCCCCAAATGCTGGAACCCCTGGCTGCTCAGAATGACCATTTGTAGCACCTACCCAGCGCTGCCCAACCAGGGGGCTTCTGCTCCAAAAGGGATCTTCCCCTTCTGCCCTAGAACCGCCCCCCTCCTTCTGTTCCACTAGCAGTTCTGCACAGTGTGCATCATTAACTGCAGTGGGATTATTTGAAAGGAGGCTCAGAATGTTAGAGCTCTGGAACGCAAGGCAACAAAGCCCTAAGAGAGCCGCCTTAGACGCAGGAGGAAGGGTGAGGGGCTGTCGCGTGAGGGGCCTCCCCCCATGTCTCTGAGGAGCGCACCCAGGTCTCCCTGCCTGTCCTGTCACCTTCCGGAGACGAGTGAAAATAATCAGCAAACTTGGAACGTGCTTGCTTGACCAACTCAAAAACGTAAACAGCTTCCAAACGCTTTCGCACCTACCTAACAGCCTCTCTCAGTCCCGCCTTTAAAAGCAAAATATATGTACAATTATTCTACCCTCATCATGGGTACAAGTAGCTTCCCAGACCTTGAAGTGCCCACTTTCATCACCCTGCTTTCGACTACTTCAAGCACCTGGTACAGGTAAAAATTGCTTCTTGTTTAAAAATTTTTAATTAGTTACAATAAGACTTCACCCTCTGGCCTACCTAACTCCAGGTTATTGAGGTTTTTCCCACATTTCCAAGCAGAAATTTATCAGATACACTACATGCAAGCTACAGATTATGCACTGCCCTGAAATCACAGCACCACAAGACTGGTGAAGGGCAATTTTTCTGTTCCGATAAATAAATAGAAAACCCGAAGGCACATAGGTGTGATATATTTCTTTGCCCATTCCCATGGCCCGTTCATTCCTGTCATGGTTTTGTTGCCTAGTTCAAGTCCGGTGCGCTCCGGGCTAAGCATCAGGGTCCAGGGTTCCCACACACTGTCACCGACTTTCTCAACTTCTCACCTGCTTGCTTTTTTTTTTTTTTAGTGAGGCCCATCTCTTTCCATTACTTGCTTCTGCTTCCCCTTTCCTTTGCCTACAGTGGTGTGCCTACCTTCCAGCACTGCCAAACCCTGCCCAGCAGGTGACCCCAGGAACTAGCTACTCGCACCTTCCCCTGGGGGCAGCCCCCGTGCTCAAGGCAGCACACCACCTGCAGCCCAGGTCAACAGATGCTTCTGCGTACCTGCATCTCCTCGCCGAGGCCTCCGGGCCACGTGCAACACCACCTCCTGCTTCCAGGACTCGGGGGAGGAAATGTGTCTGCCCCTCCCCGGGGGAGCTCTTCCCTTGGGGACGACTAATTCTCCTGCTCTGGATCCCGACCCCCTCCTTCCCCGTATCTGCGGCATCTCCCCCTCAGTAACAGAAGTGAGCCTCTCCCATGACCAGCACGGCAAGAGCTCACCTTCCTCTTTCTTTCTCTCCACATCTCACCTTCTTTAGAACCAACGATTTATAGCGGACGTTGTATAAGGTACTTCTGTTTCCCCAGCATCCGTCCACCAGCCAGCAAGACAGTCAGGCCCACGCCTGCCCACCCCCGAGACAACTAGCTCCAGCCCCTCAGCATGACCTCCCGGAAGCACATGCTGACCTCCCGGAAGCACATGCAGTCAGCATCCCTCTTGGCTTCTCTAGGGCCGCCAACGCTGTGCACAGTCTGCCTTCTTCTTAAAACTGCCCCCCCACCGTTTGTCCCTGCTTCTCTGGATCAGTCCTCTCTACTCACTGTCCCAAGCTCCTTACTTTCCTTGCTTTGCGGTCAGTGCTCCAGATCCCACCCTTCTCTCCTCCCCTCACACCCTCCCCTGGTGGCTCCACCCGTGACCTCAGCTACTAACGCTGGGGTCCCACCCAATCAGGGGTCTCCAGCCCTGATCATCAGCTCTGAATGTCTCCCTTGGGCCCGAAGTCACCTCGGTCGGACGTCCCAAACTTTTTTTTTTTTTGCGGTACGCGGGCCTCTCACTGCTGTGGCCTCTCCCATTGCGGAGCACAGGCTCCGGACGCGCAGGCTCAGCGGCCGTGGCTCACGGGCCCAGCCGCTCCGCGGCATGTGGGATCTTCCCGGACCGGGGCACGAACCCGCGTCCCCTGCATCGGCAGGCGGACTCTCAACCACTGCGCCACCAGGGGGAAGCCCCCACAAACTTCTTGAGGGGGACATGTCACAATATCCCCCAAGCGTCTCCCACCAGGCCACGCAGGCAGAAGGTGCTCAAGAACCCTGAATGGGTGAAAGTGTCCTGGTCTCTCTGGCCTTTTACTCAGTTTCAGCAGCTTCCAACCCCGAACTTCAGAGGTCTTTCTTTCAAGAAAGGTGTGACCCTCAGGCTCGTTCACACTGTGTCACAGATTTGATCGGCTACTTCTCCCAAAGGTCTCTGGGCTTTTCCAAAGGGAAAGAAATTAATGAATGCCAAATAGTAATCTTGTTTCTGCAGGACTGGGAGAAGAAGCCCCCTCACCACCCCTCCAGGCCTCAGCATCCTTCGCCTCTGTCCCTCCTCCACTGACGAATACACTGCCTCAGACCCCACGGATGGTACCCAGGCCTAGATTTTGCCCATTCACCCGGAGGCCTGATTGCTCACACTTCCCTGGAGCTCCAAGGAGAAAAGGGGGTTTCGTCTCCCTTCCCTGCTCCCTGAGCCCCATGAAACCACATTCCAGCTCCCCAGCCCTCTTTATACCCTACCAATGCCAAGCCCATAGCCAGAGCTGGCCTACAGTCTGCGGATCCCAGACTTTAAAATAACTCATGAACACACTACTATATATAAAACAGATAACCAACAAGGACCTACGGTAGAGCACAGGGAAATCTACTCGATGTTTTGTACTAACCTATAGGGGAAAAGAATCTGAAAAAGAATAGATATATATGTGTAACTGAATCACTTTGCTGTGCACCTGAAACTAACACAACCTTGTAAATCACGTAAACTTCCCAAAAAAAGCTTAAAAAGTAGCAACTCATGCTGAGTGACTGCCCAGTATTGAGCCAATAAGGGCTTTCCCAGGTGTTACCGAATTTAATCCTCACCACCTGACCACAGGTAACCTATCGGTTAGGATGGATTTGGCTGCGGGTATAAGAGAACCCGAGGACGGGGCTTCCCTGGTGGCGCAGTGGTTGAGAGTCCGCCTGCCGATGCAGGGGATACAGGTTCGTGCCCTGGTCCGGGAAGATCCCACATGCCGCGGAGCAGCTAAGCCCGTGAGCCATGGCCGCTGAGCCTGCGCATCCGGAGCCTGTGCTCCGCAGAGGGAGAGGCCACAACAGTGAGGGGCCCGCGTACCGCAAAAAAAAAAAAAAAAAAAAAAAAAACGAGGCCCGCGTACCGAAAAAAAAAAAAGAAAAAAAAAAAAAGAAAACCCGAGGACGTTCTATTATCCAGCATAACTGAAGTTCAGGGTGGCTCCAGACAGAGCCGTTTGTTCAGTGACGTCATCAGCGTTCCGTCCTGCCTGCTGTCCTCCTGGTCTGGAAGAAAGTACTGGCGGATCCCCTCACTGTCCACAAGGTGCCACCACACGCGCCTTGATTACCTCTTGGGGGGGGGAGGGGCGCAAGCCCAGCAGGATGTAAATCCTTTGCCGGCCCCTGATTAGACTAATGCAGGTCACACGCTCACTCTGGAACCTGGTAGCAGTCACGCCATGATTGGCTTAAGCCATTCACACCCCCCTCTTTGGAGTTTTGCCAGTCCCTAACCCGGGTAGAGGATCTGGCACCCAGGGAGGCTCTGGAATGGAGGGCTAAGAGCCTTACTAGTCAATTCATTCATGACTTGGGAGACCTCAGGACCCTTTGCTCCCGGAAACACCCACCACGACCAATCCCAGCCCCTACGGCTGGCAATCTGGGGACAAGGCCCGAGCGCCCACCTCCCAGGCCGCTGGCGGGGGACCACTTTCTGCCTCCACCTGATTCCCGCCTTTCTCCTCTTGTCTGCCCCTTAAGGTCCAACGGGACCCTGGGCTTCTAGGAGAGGACCTTTCCTAGAAGCCCCTGTTCAGTCAACCCAGAGCAGCCTGAGGAAGCTCCAGGTCTAAGAGAAGCAGCTGTCTTTCCTGTTTGCTTCTCCTTCGCTGGCCCAGAAGCCCCTCGTGGGCCAGAGAAGTTCATCCGAAGGAAGGAGCGGTGCACCAAAGGCTTTGCACGCTGGGCCACTTGTTCTAGCGGATCTTTGCCGGTGGACCACTTTCTTACACCCCGGGGGACTTATGGCCTTTGAGGGATAAGACCGGGCCACAAATGCCACCTCGTGTCAATGCCCTTCAGGTCTTTTTACCGATGCGGACCCAAAACTCCCCTCACGTCTCGACTGCCCTGGGAGAGCAAAATCCTTTTACTGCCAGAGCGAAATCTGAAGCATCTAGAGCCAAACATTGCGTAAGGCGAAGCCTGAGAAGGCCGAAGGGAGACGGTGGCTCCCTCTCCGGCGGGACGAAAACAGGCCTAGCAGGTCCAGCGCAATGGGCGGCGGGGCAGCCAGGTCAGGCGGGCTCAGGGGCAGCTTCTGCACAAACCGCAGCATCTCGCGTCTGCAGGGAGAGGGCGGGGTGACACTGGGACCCCAGGGCAGTCACCGCAGCCCAGGCCTCCCCTGCCCCAAACATGTCTCCCGGGGCCTCCCCTCACTCCCCGAGGGCGCCCCCTTCTCCAGAGCTGGGGGAGCCCCCGGACACCCAGCCAGGCCAGTGATCCTCCAGGAAACCGAGATGCCAGCGACTCTACCATCAAGTCCTCTGAGGTCGCCCACCTCGGGCCCGACTTTGGGGGTCCCAGCTCCCAAGGCTCCAGATCCTAAGGAACAGCCGCTGCGTGGACTCAACCAGCCCCATGACGAGGACGCGCGTCAGGCCCGTGGCCGTGAAGCGCATCTCCAGCCGGATGAGGGTCTGGCTGTGCGCCTCGATGATGGGGGCCAGGTCCAGGCCAGGTGGCCTGCGAGGCGGGCCAGGAGGACCAGTGCCGGGAGGTGAGGGGTGGGGAATGGGCAGGGACCACTCACCAAACATGAGCTTCCCCTGGCCCTCTTCTATGTAAAATTCCAGAGGAAAGGTAAAGTTTTCAGGCACAGTCCACCACGGCTTGATCTCCGCGTCCAACCGCTCCCAGCCGATTCTGAATAGGGCCAAGTCCAGGAACTTATCCCAACAGGACTTAAGAAAACCTGGAAAGGCCCAGGGTCTGCCTAAATATTGCCTCTACACAACCCACCCTAGGGAGAAGTGACCTGGCCCTGTAGCTGCTCTCCAGAAAATCCATTCCAACTAATTATCTGTTCTTCACCAATCCCTTCATCCAAATTGGATTATCTGATCCGTGTTTGCCTCCCTGATGCCCAGGAATTCAAAAGTATCTTCATTCTAGGCACTTCCCTGGGGATCCAGTGGTTAAGAATCCGCCTTCCAATGCAAGGGATGTGGGTTCGATCCCTGGTGGGGGAACTAAGATCCCACATGCTGCAGGGCAGGTAAGTCCGTGCGCCACAGCTAGAGGTGCAAACTACAGAGCAATCCACAACTAAGACCGGATGCAGCCAAAAATTAAATAAATAAATAAAAAGAAGAAGAAAAACAAATTTACGAAAAAAGTATCTTCATTCTAGTCTGAACAGATCTTGGAGCAGATCTGCTGGGCGTGAACCAGGCCTGGGGTTGTGGGGTGGAAGGTTCTGGAATAGGGGTTTCCAAGTGGCCTCGCTGGTTCAGACAGGCACTGCCATAACAAAATCCCACGGGCTGTGGGCTTTCTCACAGTCCTGGGGGCGGGAAGTCCAAGACCAAGGCACCAGCAGATCTGGCGTCTGATGAGATCTCCCTGGTTCGCAGGCCGCCTCCTTTCGGCTGTGTCCTGACGTGGCTAAAGGGGAGCACAAGCTCTCGAGGGCCTCTTTTAGAAGGACACTCATCACCTTCATCATGAGGCTCCCTCCCAAAGCTCCACCTCTGAGACCATCACCTCGGGGGTTTGGAACTCAGTGTATGCCTTGTGGGCGCACAAACCTTCAGACCGTAGGGTGCCGCCTGCCGACCACACAGTAGCCTCATTTATTCTCCTACATCAAGAGAGAGGAACACAGAGCCTCTTTATGGGATGGGTGGGAGGGAGCCTATCACAGGATTTGGCTGCATGAGTCTAAGGAGTGTTTAGAGAAGCAGAGGCCAGTTTTGTAAAAATGGGGCAATTTGTGGGACTTCCTGGTGGTCCAGTGGGTAAGACTCCATGCTCCCAGTGCAGGGGGCTCAGGTTCCATCCCTGGTCGGGGAACTAGATCCCACACGCATGCCGCAACTAAGAGTCCGTGTGGCGTAACTAAGAGCCCGCATGCAGCAACTAAGACCCAGCGCAGCCAAAATAAATAATTTTTTTTTTTTTTTTTTTTTTTTTGCAGTACGTGGGCCTCTCACTGTTGTGGCCTCTCCCGCTGCGGAGCACAGGCTCCGGACACGCAGGCTCAGCAGCCATGGCTCATGGGCCCAGCTGCTCCGCGGCATGTGGGATCTTCCCGGACCAGGGCACGAACCTGTTTCCCCTGCATCGGCAGGCGGACTCTCAACCACTGAGCCCCCAGGGAAGCCCAATAAATAATTTTTTTTTTTTATGGGACAATTTGTGGTTATCTTGGCAATTATTAGGAGGCAAGGATATCAATTGGTCTTTTTTTTTTTTTAGCCCTGCCACATGGGTAGTGGGATCGTAGTTCCCCAACCATAGACTGAACCCAGGCCCTTGGCAGTAAAAACCCTAACCACTGGAACACCAGGGAATTCCCAGATTAATTCGTGTTGATTGCAGAGTGTCATTGTCTCTGCCTGGTTTCAAACCTAGTTACAGAGTAAGTGCTCTTTCACCATCTGTTCCATCACAATCACTGCGTGGTCTTGACTAGTGAAAATGTTCTGCAAGAGATGTTTATGTTTGGCAAGAAATGTTTGTTAGAGTTTATCTGCCAGCTTACTGCTACAACTTGTGGGTCTGTTTTTTCACTTTTCAGTCTCCCTTTTCGGCCTAAGGCAAAAAGATAGAAGACAAAGGACATTCATCTACAGGGTTCAGACCCACCATCCCATCATCAAAATCCATCCATCACACGGTTATTTGGAGAACATGGTCTGCGTCTCCATTACAGTTAGTTCCATGTGCCTTTGGTTGCAAGATGAGGTGATGAATCATTTTAAAAGATCATGAGGGAATTCCCTGGCAGTCCAGTGGTTAGGGCTCCACGCTTCCACTGCAGGGGGCATGGGTTCAATCCCTGGTCGGGGAACTAAGAGCCCACAAAGCCGCACAGCACAGCCAAAATAATAATAATAATAAAAGATCATGACTGCACAGTAGCACTTAAGACTGGACAGGATACAGATCATTACTAGAAACAAAGTGATTATCAATCCTATTCATAGGTTGCCAAGGAAAGAGCCTAGATTTCAAAACCAGGCCATGAAATCAGGTCCTATTCCATCTGAATCTGTTCTAGAAAGCCAGGTCATCTTTTCTTTTAACCAACCACAAATTATTCTCCCTGACCAACAGTGAACCAGGGTAGCAAGCAGTGATTGCTAACAAACGAAGTTCTTAGCTGGCCAAGAAGGAAACAAAGGCTGCGTAATTATCCATAACCAGAGACAAATTGTGGACCACCTTTTCTAGTTAGATTATTTCTACCACTGGAATGGGAGCACCCAGAATGGAGGTGAAGGGGGACTTGGTTATCTGGCCAGGTCTCTTGCAAGCTCTGCTGAATAATCCATTCTTCCCTCGTCTTGCGTCTCTGAGTATCTTTCTCAGAGAAGCAGTTTTCTGTAGGAGTAGGTGTTTTAAAATTGGAAAGTTTCTAAACGTTACTCTACATACGCAAGATAGGTTTTGGTAATAATCAGGTGAAGTCCTGGGGGCTTCCCTGGTGGTGCAGTGGTTGGGAGTGCGCCTGCCGATGCAGGGGACACGGGTTCGTGCCCCGGTCCGGGAAGATCCCACATGTCGCGGAGCGGCTGGGCCCGTGAGCCATGGCCGCTGAGCCTGCG